CTCGCCTCAGCGGGAATCCCTTTAAAGGACTGCCATATCCCGAAAAACTACGCATACTCCGGCTGAGTTTGGACGTATGTGGCTGTGGTCAGTATCGCACCTTCAAGTGGTTGGACGAGCGAGCAGAGAAATTACGGGCCGGTCTGCGCTGTCATCGAGTCCTCGACCTCAAGAGAACCGACTTAGGGACCGTGGAGAACAGGTGGATGAGTCAAAGTGAGTTTATTTCTCTCTGGGCTCCTTTCTGCGAGGCCGACGGTGCACCTACAGTAGCACCTATGACTCTTGAGGCTGTTGCAGCCAAACGAAGAAACTGCGGCAACAATCTCGCCCCCTTAGACTGGACATATTTTTTGGCAATTATATCTGTAGTTTTTGTAAATAAGATTTATCCTTTCTGATCATTGAATTTCTGCCTTTATGTCGTTGCTCTTAGCAATTGGGGAGTTGAAAATGACAAGCTAGCTTGAGACGCTGAAACCTGCAGGTCTGTGACAACGGATGTTAAATAACCCAATGTCTTATGGGGATTTTCCACAGCCAGGCATTGTGAATAGAGTTTTCTAACTCCTGGAAACTGATGAAGCACAATATCTGTGTTCACCAAAAATTACCACTACCTTGCACTGGCCTTCTGAATCGCATCACGTGTTCAGGCTCCGGAAATCGGCCCATGAGTTATAATATATAGTTATTCTTTATTGAGATCCCCTGTTCCCGTAGCAACCGAGAATGTCTAAATAAACAATCTGTCCATATGTACCGACGTAACGCGACTTTATTGCGCTAAGTATGGACAACGGCAAACGATTCCTGCATGCCAATTCCAGAAATCCTGATACCATACAGTACTAGCTGCATATGTTTCCATACGTGGCAACTTTAATGATATCTGACTAATAGTTCTTCTGTTAGACTATGGTTAGGTTGATTCGTGACCTCGGCAGGAGTGCGAGTATCGTTATCTCGCTATGTCTATTGGTCCAAGCCAAAAAAACTTCCTAATATTTTTTTTCATAGTCACCGACTTCACCTGTCGAACTTCGGCTTCTGCTGCGGTGAGTTTAGTAGCGGGAGAAGATTCGCAACCGTGATTATTAACAGCATTAGCCGAAATTATCCTATAAGGCCGTAGGAAGATAAGTTGATTAGATACGCCCGCAAGATTATTGACAAGGTTAGCAATTTAGCTAGAAACCGCACCATTTTATTACCGCTTGTGTGAAGTGAACGCCGATTAAGGGCGATATGGTGTAAGCAGTCTTTTTTGTAAATTTAAAATATGCATTTTATCTATAACAAACAATAAGTGTTACTTAAAAAATCCTGTAGCCCCCACCTTATGCTGAAGTTAGGACAAGCATTACTAAATTAAAAAGCAGAAATGTCAAATAAATTCCGCATGTCATGAAATGACAAGTGAAATTCTAAAATTTGTTTTTCATTCGAACGTATTAAGTGAATATAGTTAAAAATTCACTACTTTACAACTGCAAATCGACTTTTTAAAAAGTTTTTTTTGCCAATTGCAAAAGTACATCTAATATCTTGAGGTTGATCTGTAACGCAATCAGCATAAGAAGCCTATTTAAGTAATTTTTTCGAATCAAAAACAAATTCCAGAATTTCAATTGACGTTTTTATAAGATAAGGAATATACTGTACACATCCCAGCATGAGGCACTGAAACCTGCAGGTCTCCGTCATTTGACAATATCTTATGGATATGCTCCACAGCCAGGCATTGTAAGTAAAGTTTTCTTACTCGTAAACTCTGATGGAACACAATATCTGTGTTCAACATTTACTAGCGCTAAATTGCAGTGGCCTTCTGAGTCGCTACAGGTGTTCGACATCCAGAAATCGGTCCATTACCTACCATACACAGTTCTTCTTTATTAAGATCCCTTGTTCCCGTAGTAACTGTACATTTATAAATAAACAATCTGTCTATAAATGTTGAAGAAAAGCGAGTTGATTGCGCTAAGTATAGACAACCGTAACTGACGCCTGCATACCACTTCCAGAATTCCTGACACCGTACAGTACTAACTGCATATGTTCCTACAGGTGGCAAGCTTAATGATGCCTGACTAATAGGTACTTTATGAGCACTGTGCTTAGGCCAGTTTTTTACCTTGAGAAGAGTTTGAGCATCTTGAGGTCACCATTGCTATTGGTCCCAGCGAAAGGACTTCCTTGTATTATTTGTATTAACAGCCATGGGCTTAAACTGTCGAACTGCGGTGAATTCAGTAGCGGAAGAAGATTCGCAACCGCAATTATTGACATTATTAGCCGACACCATCGTATACGGCCGCAGGAAGATAAGTTGATTAGAAACGCCCACACGATTATAGATAAGATGAATGTAAGTATTTTTGTAAGCAAGTGCCACTCTTTATTACGGCTTGCGTGATTTGAACACCGAAACGGACAAGGTTGCGTAAGCAGTCTGTATTTGCTCATTTCCAAGACGGAAGCTAAGTATTTAATCTATTACAGCCAATAAGTGTTCCTGCGCATTTTGCAGCCATCACCATATGCTGAGTTTAAATGAAACATTACTAAACTGAAAAGGAGAAATCAAAAGTTAACAAATTTCAAATATAATTCTAAAATGTTTTTCTGCTTAAATCATATTTATGGTTTAGAATTAATTATTGCATAACTTAGGTTCAATATACTTCAGCAAACTCAGCACGTTGGCTTTCAGACAAATTACTTTTTGGTTAAAAAATATACAAATATCTTGAGATAAGTCTGTACTGCAGTCAGTATTAGAATTCTACGTAACATATTCCAGAATCTCCGTCGACGTTTCAGGAGACAGGAAATCTACCGTGCATATATCAGCAACTACTGAAGATGACGTTAAGAACTATGAAAGTTTCATATTAAATATACATTTTACGCATTTTTTCAGAAAATAGGATATGCCTTATGAATTCGTATCTAAGGGAATTCTAAAATGCATGAGTCTAAATTTTGAGTGGCAGGAATAACTGGAAAACTGGGCAAACAAAGTTTAGCATGCCGCTTTATGTGAAATGCAGAAAGTTTGCGTTTAAAATTTATTGGTAGGGCGAAATGCTTAAATATTGGGTTTTAATAAGGGGCATATTTGGCCGTTTAGACGTGCTTTTATGAGTATCGGCACAAAGCGAACGTTTGCGTTTGAATATTTTTGAAGAAACACTATGCAAAAAAGGTCTGTCGTATGTTGAAGAAGTGTACCATTTTTAATTTTAACAATATTTTTTTAATTATAGAAGATAAATGTAGACATACTAAGAAAACAAATAACCTTATTTTTCTCTGACTAAGAAATGGTGCCATATTTCTTTCCAAAGTTTCTGTCTATCTACTGTTTCGGATGGAAGCTTTGTGAAGACGCTGACCATTCAAAGGGCATTCAGTCAGTTTTATCAATTTCTGATTCAACCAACTAGAATTTTTGGATAATACATTCTATCCAATTATTTATTGGTAGAAAATGAATATTCTGTAATTTTAAGTGTTGTTTTTATTTCATTTTAGTAAACGTCGAAAAAATATGGCTCATGATAGTTTTCTGAGTTCCTCAGTACCGGCATCGTAATCACTCACTTAAACAAATCTACGAGATTCATTTCCATCTTGCTTAATTTTGGCTTTTAAACGCAGCAAGTGCACCCCAGTTTCAAAAGTAAAAAATCGATTTACTTGATTATGCTTACGTGTTAATGGTTTATTTATGAAATATTTATTGTTCGGAATGCAAAAGTAATTTTAAACGCCACACCATCGACTCTGCTAATATTAAAATCGAACCAATAGTTTGATTTCTCTTGCGAAAATCAAATTAATTTTTAAGTACTTTGGACGGCCCGTCAATAATGAAAATATTGCTGATAAAATTTTAAATATATTAGGCAATGTCTTCTGATTCCGCTAAAAAACGCGCGTTCGAATAAAGGAGCACGCGCCCCTGGCCTGCCTCGGAGTTAGTTCAATTTTCTCTGTGTTTTATAATATTGCTCGCTGAATGAATATTAAATGTAAGGATTAGCAACAGCTTGATGAAAAATCATTTTAACAGCACATCCACGTTAATGAGAAATGTATTTGAAGCCATAGCTTATGATTAAGAAGGAGTAACACTTTAAGAAATTCCTAAATCTTACAAGGTAAGCTCGTTGCCCGAAGTAATTTACGCGTTAATTTACTTAGACGAATCATCTTATATTGCCTTAAGAAGAAAATGTGGTTTTGCTGTTCGAAATGGCTGTTCGTAAAGCAATCTTTTAAAAGAGCTTGCGCTCACTTTATGTTAAAATAAGCTCCTACAGATACTTGAAATGCATATCTGTTCCACTCACAGTCAAAAAAACTGCGGTCTGCCACGAATTGCTTTCTTTTCTTCACATCTTACACGTAAAACTCTAGTTTCCTCCAGCCCATTTGTTAATGCAAAGACCGCGCGTGTTAGGCTGAAGCAAGAAATCCGCACTTGTTAGGGTGCGCAAAAAAGCGCACCATAAATTTGGCAAAGATGGCATCTTCCCACTAACTTGGACCATTCAGCGTACAAATGATCGAACGAAGAATGGGGAGTTTGTTATGGGTTTCATTCTGTGTAGTTGCAATGAAAATCGCCTCGGAGAATCGTTGTAGATTTCCCCTCACTAGTTCTGCTTTTAACGTTGCACCGATAGGAATAAGTTGGTTGTTTGCGTACATATTAGCTAAGCTTATTCGCACTCTTAAATGGCATCACCTGATGAGACACAGTACCATCTGCTGTTCCTCATTTCTAGAAACATCTGGCAACAGTGGTTTATGTAGGGCATCCCATATACCCCTAGTCCCAGCAGTTTGGCCTACAGAAACGGCAACTATAGGGTTTTTCGTGGTGAAGAATTAGGATAGGCAGTGGACTATATATTACTAACTGTTATATCCATTTTTGTTTTATTGTATTTTGAAATGCTCTTGATTTATATCTGTTGTTCTGCATTATCGTTTAACGTATTGCGGAAAAACCCGATTACTAAAATGCAGGTTTTTTTAAATTCCTGAAAAAAAATAGGAACGGTGGTTAGAAGGTCGTCTACTTCAATTAATCTGAGACTTTACTTACCGTTCTGGAGTTGGATAAATATACCTCGCGGCACTCAGCGCCGCGCACACCTTCAATTTACATGCGAAATAACTTACTGCCAGCAGCCGCAAGAAACAAGTTCAACTACATTTTTTTCACTTTCAACATACTTCTCTAACTTTTTTATTACCTATTCTATTTCCCTACCTTAAAACGCCATTAAGCACCGTTTCCCTAGGACAAAATGCTAAGATTAGGTGCACTACTTAAATTACATTTGCCAAAAAATATTTTTTGAAAAATAAGGTACTCGTATGCATAAAATTTTTAAAACCTCACTATAGAATCTTCGCTAACTGTTATACAGTCCTCTCTTCTTTTAACTTTTGGGTTCCACTGCCACAAGTTTATTTGGTAGGGCTAGGTCACGTAAGCCCGTTGGTTTAAAAATGTATAGCCCTGTCTTTTTTGGTTTAGCACTTAATGCTTGTGGGCAGTAACCTTTTGTATGATATTACAACATTCGTATAAATGCATGCAAAATGTTGGTATACCGAGGTTTTTATTCTATGTTTTATTAACTTTTTGGTATGAATTCTAATGTCATTGCTATATATATAAGTCCAGAAGAATACATCTGATCACATATTGTTTATAGTTTCTTGCACACTTTGAGGCCCAAGCTTTAACATTCCTAATACTGCCGTTCCCATTTTACATGATCCGAGTGTTAACGCTGGCCTACAGAACTTAACATTGAGGCTTATTGTTTTAAAATGAGAAGCAGAGTTCTTATTTCGCCATTTCCACCTGGGAACGCGATATTTCAGTTACAGTAAATTTTTCACTGATGGGTTAACAGCTGATAAGGTCACTCGGATTTAAACTTCGTATGCGCCAATGACAATGTCTAAGTACCCGTAGCTAATAAGGACAAGTAAGTATGTACTGACCTTTCCGGCGTCCCTGTTTGTGACAGTGCCCCTTGTAACTGTAAGTTATGATTAGTCA